TATTAAGGTGTATTTTAAGTAGCCTTTGAGTTTGTGTATATAAGCTGTATTCATTTCTTTAAAACTATGAAGAGTTTTAGGCTTCACCTGATTTTTTTTTTTTTTTTTTTTTTTTTTTTTTTTTTTAAGAATACCTTTTATGTGTTTTGTTTATAGGTCTGTGATGCAAGAAAAGACATTTTGAGCACATTTTACTGAAGGAAGTTCTTTCATGTTTTGTGTCCTACTAAAGACTGGACGACCCTTAACCAATCACTGGCTGTTCAGAATGTGGCTTTCACAAACAATGTCAACCTTTCTCCCCCCGTTCCACTTTTTTTTTTTTTTTAAATACATACAGTAGATAACAAAGTAGCACTCCAGTCGGGGCATAGCTTTTTGGCCATGTAGCAGAAAGAGATGGTGTTTTCTGAAAATGGTGAGCTAGATGCCACTTGTAGCTTGCCGGGTTCAAGTGAGCCACAGCAGCTCGGCTTCAAGGAGAGTTAAAATGTGAAGAATGGTGTACATACACACTGTATTAAACACAAGTGATTCTCAGTAGTCTCTGAATGAATCAATCCGTAGTGGATGGGAAAAGACTAGATTGTAGTGACTCCTCTGCTCTGTCAGTGGTCAGGCAATTGTAAGGTCCCAAATATGATGTCTGTCAAATCTTCCCCTGGCAACCTGTGGTAGAAACAATTATGTAACCTTTTTGCCGGATCCAGAGCAACTTCGCACCCTGCAATTCACTTTACACCAAAACGCCTTCACCGTTAACACACGTCATCTAGACCATCATTACTGTACACATGCCAATGTCTCAGGAAGGAATCATTTTTTGTGCTTCGCCTGTTCTTTGTATGTTCTGTGCTGCACCTCCTAACCCTCCTGTCACACAAACACACACTTCTGCTACTGAGCCCCTGACTTTGTCTTCAGTCACTCATTTTTGTTCGGCCTGGCACACCGGGACTCGTTCATAGAGAAACTGACCCCGCAGCGTTACGACTTACGATGCCAGTGTGGAGTCTCTCTTGAGTCGTTCATGTGTTCTTTTTATTTGTACAGTCAAAGCTGCTTTCATCATTTTAGGACTTCACCTGTCCAGAACAGCGCACAAATTTTCCCTCTGCAGCTAATCTGGAATAGCAACAGACACACCGTCAGTTTGAGAAGTATGGAATATGTTGCAGTTTTGTCAAGATTATCAAGCGACTTTGGAAAAAAACAAAAACAAAAAAGATCAAAAATAAAACCAACATTTAATAATTATTAAATGAGTTTTGTGTTGCTCACGTGTCATTTATTTCACTGTCTGCTACAGGGGTGTCCTCAGTATAGGTTTTCATACATCATATTTATAGAAAGAAGAAGTTTTGGGGGAAATCAGAAGGCAGTCACTAACTTTCTTGACACTTTCTGAAAGCCTTGGAACCCCCTTTTCATGTGCGTAGCAATAGCATAGCATTGAAGAGACTGATAACAAGTGTTCACAGGTAACCATTAATACTGGGGTAGGTACACTGCTCAAAAAAATAAAGGGAACACTAAAATAACACATCCTAGATCTGAATGAAATAATCTCATTAAATACTCCTTTCTTTACATAGTTGAATGTGCTGACAACAAAATCACACAAAAATTATCAATGGAAATCAAATTTATCAACCCATGGAGGTCAGGATTTGGAGTCACACTCAAAATCAAAGTGGAAGCACTACCACACTACAAGCCGATCCAACTTTGATATAATGTCCTTAAAACAAGTCAAAATGAGGCTCAGTAGTGTGTGTGGCCTCCACGTGCCTGTATGACCTCCCTACAATGCCTGGACATGCTCCTGATGAGGTGGCGGATGGTCTCCTGAGGGATCTCCTCCCAGACCTGGACTAAAGCATCCGCCAACTACTGGACAGTCTATGGTGCAACGTGGCGTTGGTGGATGGAGCAAGACATGATGTCCCAGATGTGCTCAGTTGGATTCAGGTCTGGGGAACGGGCGGGCCAGTCCGTAGCATCAATGCCTTTCTCTTGCAGGAACTGCTGACACATTCCAGCCACATGAGGTCTAGCATTGTCTTGCATTAGGAGGAACCCAGGGCCAACCGCACCAGCATATGGTCTCACAAGGGGTCTGAGGATCTCATCTCAGTACCTAATGGCAGTGAGGCTACCTCTGGCGAGCACATGGAGGGCTGTGCGGTCCCCCAAAGAAATGCCACCCCACACCATTACTGACCCACCGCCAAACCGGTCATGCTGGAGGATGTTGCAGGCAGCAGAACGTTCTCCACAGCATCTCCAGACTCTGTCACGTCTGTCACATGTGCTCAGTGTGAACCTGCTTTCATCTGTGAAGAGCACAGGGCGCCAGTGGCGAATTTGCCAATCTTGGTGTTCTCTGGCAAATGCCAAACGTCCTGCACAGCGTTGGGCTGTAAGCACAACCCCCACCTGTGGACGTCGGGCCCTCATACCACCCTCATGGAGTCTGTTTCTGACCGTTTGAGCAGACACATGCACATTTGTGGCCTGCTGGAGGTCATTTTGCAGGGCTCTGGCAGTGCTCCTCCTGCTCCTCCTTGCACAAAGGCGGAGGTGGCGGTCCTGCTGCTGGGTTGTTGCCCTCCTACGGCCTCCTCCACGTCTCCTGATGTACTGGCCTGTCTCCTGGTAGCGCCTCCATGCTCTGGACAATACGCTGACAGACACAGCAAACCTTCTTGCCACTGCTCGCATTGATGTGCCATCCTGGATGAGCTGCACTACCTGAACCACTTGTGTGGGTTGTAGACTCCGTCTCATGCTACCACTAGAGTGAAAGCACCGCCAGCATTCAAAAATGACCAAAACATCAGCCAGGAAGCATAGGAACTGAGAAGTGGTCTGTGGTCACCAACTGCGGAACCACTCCTTTATTGGGGGTATCTTGCTAATTGCCTATAATTTCCACCTGTTGTCTATTCCATTTGCACAACAGCATGTGAAATTGATTGTCAATCAGTGTTGCTTCCTAAGTGGACAGTTTGATTTCACAGGAGTGTGATTGACTTGGAGTTACATTGTGTTGTTTAAGTGTTCCCTTTATTTTTTTGAGCAGTGTAATTTATTTCAGAGGCATTTTTTGTTAAATTTGTTGAAATTCTCTTTACATCCCGACAGCAATCAATAAATCAAATGCTGACACAAAAATATATCTGTGGTTGTTGCAGGACTGTAATAACTACAGCTGGCCTGCTTACCTACCTGTCTACCTGCGCACATTCTGCCCATGCACTCACTGCGCATGAAAATGTTTTGAGGGAGGCCTGAAGGGAGGGTGTGAGATTATTTCAGTTGGATACTTTCAAAATCTAGCTGTTGCCTACTCCAGCTTTAATATTTATATATATATATATATATATATATATATATATATATATATATATATATATACATATAAATATTTAAATCACCCACTAAATACATAGCAGAGATTCTTCATGGCAACGACCTCAAGCAAAATCAGCATTAAGGTTAGGTAAGGTTGAAGCTTTCATCAGATTTCATAAGCAGTAACACAACAGTGCTCAAATCATTACTGTCAGGGGTTTTGCAGCTACAGCCTTGCTTGGTCTGGTTTGACCATTTGTTTATGGTGGCTAATTTTAGCACAGAGTTACTGACTCTATGACTATGTTTTTGCAACTGCCCTTATCCTGTAATTCTGTATTAATGGCCACAGAGGCTGGTGTTCAGCAAAATGTATGTTGAAAATTAAATAATAAGAATAATCGAATGTATTGGAAGAAATGAAATCACACAGAAAGTCTCTACCTCCAGAATGTAGCGCTTCTCAGTAGTGTAGTGAGGAGGCATAAAAATAATCACATATCGACACAAAATATTATTAGAACTTAATAATTTGTTTTCTTAATATCCATGTATTACCAGATCATTATTATTTTGAGAGCAAATTATGTTGCAAATATGGGTCAATAAATATTTTTAACTCACATGTTGACATGTTATAGAAAGCACAGCTGTTTGCTTTAGGTATCTCAATATGCCAAGTCAATAAACCAGTATACATAATATCAGGGCCCTGGAATACAAGCCTTGTTAATGTTAATGACTGTAGACTATTGTCATTTCACGCATACAGCAAGTACACACAGAGAAATATAACAACATTCCTCCAAGATGAAGGTGCTACATAGAACAGCAAAACACAGATATAACTCTGACTACACTGACTTATAAGACTACATTTAAAGTGCATGTACAAAAGGAGAAAGACCACAGAAAAACAGGATGACAGTGCAAACTTACTAGTTGTGCAGTGTTTTTTCTGTAATGACATTTACTTGTGTGAAAATGATATATTGTTATTATGTACTATAAATAATGGTTCTCAATGCTGTGATATCCTGCCATGACCCTGATGACAGCTTCTCCATTCAACTGGACCCTGGTGAGGTTTTTGAAAAATATCTTTAACAAATCTTACAGAAGTTGGAGACACATTTATATTATATTATATTATATTATATTAGAAAATCTATGGACAACATCAGAAATGCTAAGCCTGACTTCCGTGAAGAAACCCTGTGATAGGGGCTGACTAGGCTCTGCCAGAGCCCTATAGAGGGCTGCAAAAACCATAGACTGTATATTGAAAGTACTATGCCCCGCCCTCTTACTGCGATTGTGACCCTTCAACCAATCACAATCCTTCGCGCGGAATTTCAAAAATTTTCAAATGAACATCCCTTTACAGAAGGGAGATTGTTCCGCCAAATTCGTAAACAAAATAGTCCCCTTAACGTAAATTCAAGTTAAATGTAATGCACAAAACCAAAAACATCTTTAAAAACGCAGCAACACATACATACATCAAAATACATATATTGTGTCCCAAAATATCAATTATTCCGAGTAGTTTTTTTAGGTTAATGTGTGTTTATTGTGTGGCGTAGTGATAGTACAGCACCCCTAGGAAAGAGTCGCGAGACGGCAAGTGACGGCTGTTCGAGGCAGCTTACGTTAGGCATTCGTAGATGTACATTGTAAGGTACGGTAGGACATCAGTTGTATGTCCAGTCTGATATGATATTGTAGTAAATAATTCCTCTTCGCAACATCGCGGTCGATGTTTATGGATTGCCAGAAATTGACGCGTCGTTGAACGGACTTCCAGGTGAGGCTACAACGCTTAACAGTTAACATTAAGGTACAAATGTTTCAAAAGTTTTGGCTAACTTAGCGTCACATTTTCACTGAAAACCGTATATTCTTTTGTTGCGTAGTCTCTAACGTTAGTCTCACTTCAGAACATTTCTACGTTGACATGTATTTCTGAAAAGAGTAACTTATCGTTAATCGTAATATCGTTAACGTTGCTGTCGACGCGACATTGCACGTGGGATGTCGCAGAATTATCAGTAGTGTTTTAACTTTAACCACAAACGACCTGCTGATTTGATTTTACAGGGTAAGATCGGATTACGTCAATGTTCCCTTGTGTTAAGACATTTTTGGACAAAAAATATATTACTAAGTCTATTTGATGTTTAGCTATCTCTCGGTGCAGGTTTAACACTTATTTACTAATGTTCCTAGGTAACGTTACGAAAATGCCACTGCATGGGAAAATAGTCGTGATTAAGAGGACTGGAGGAGATGGGACTGAGTTTCCTCTTACTGCAACGTGCTTATTTGGAAGGTGAGATCAATAACATGCATTTGGTGGCTTTAATTTTAGTCTGCCGTGTTGTGATTCCAGATTATATATTTTTGTTGTTTCATTGCACTACTTTTCTAGTTATCTTAAAATGGCTAGCTGTTAATTAGTAGAGGAAACGCATGCGCAAGTTATGTTGGAGCCAGCAATTCCTATGTGTGTGAAGCCATGTTGGGGTTGACAGAGGTGCTATAAAAACGCTTGTGGTTTGGAGGCGGGCCATTTGCTGCAGACGTCACAATCTTTACTGTATGTCTGCTCACTTACATGTATATCCAAACCTCCAGGTCAAGTTATCTTTATGTAGACTGTGGAACATTTCATTATCTAATTATGAACTAGAACCACTTATGTGTAAAACCTAAAATGTCTCTCTTGTTGACCCATGCATTTGTTTCATTGTGATTTTTACAGGAAGCCTGACTGCGATATTCGTATTCAGCTTCCTCAAGTCTCCAAGGAGCATTGCAGAATTGACTTGAATGAAAATAAAGAGGTAACAAAGCGTGTTTAACATGACCACCTTAGCTTGTCATTGTTTCATTTTAAAAGGATATCTGGCATAGTGAGGTTAATGAATATTTGCTGTATTATAATGCTAATTTTCTAGATCAAAAAGTTCCTAAAGTTCACTGTGGGGAATCTTTACCTATAGCAGCATAAACCTAGCTGACACTGGCATTCAGCTTTGAGCTTCTCAAGTCCTTCTTTACTAATTCTTTTGTGTGTGTGTCTCTCCCAGGTCATTTTGACAAATTTGAGCTCAGTGAATCCAACTCGTGTCAATGGAAAGCCTATGCAGCAGTCTGAGCGTTTGAAGCATGGAGATGTGATAACTGTAATTGACCGTTCTTTCAGGTAACTATGAAAAGGAAAAGGTAGCTTTTGTTGTTGCTGCTGAGATTTTTGCCTTTTGCAGTCACAGATTTTTAAAATGATTAAACTTAGTTTGCGCCTGCTTTGTTTTTTATCACCCAAAAAAATTTGAATGTTAATTGTCATTTCAGGTTTGAGTACCCACCAGCACCCACGCCAAAGAAGAGGTCTTCAATAGGAGGAAAAACTGAAACCTTCAAAGTAATTGACTTATTATTCATCTCTTACCACAGGAGCATTGCAGCTTTCCCAACATCTTGAATTTGCCTACACTCCTGTTGAATTAGATGATTTCATATTTTGATCAAGGTGTCTTATGCCTAGGTTCTTCAAGATCAGCAAGTGGGGGACACATTCGCTGTTGAAAAAGGAGACAAGAGGGTCTCTGAAGTGTCCACAGGTGAGACTTGTGTGCGTGATAGTGGTTATTCTAAATTAGCCGTATTTGAACATGATGTCGCACAACAGTGTGCATTCCCAGAAACATGATAGATCAAATGTTTTTAGAAATGGAGACAAATCACTGTTTTGACTTTTTCTTGTATTGTTCACAACTATTTTATTATAGTCATATTTTGCTTGGTCTATAATACATCTGACAGATCAGTGGAATGTTTTTGCAGCCCAACTCTAACTCCCTGCCCATTGATAGGGATTCGATGCCTGTAGATTTTCTCTAGTCTAACATTTGCTTTTGTTTCAATGCTTTTTATGTAAAGTTTTGGTTGTTTTTCACATTTTAGACCCTCATCTGAAAGATGGAACTAACCATGACAACATCCAGCGATCGCTGGAGAAAACTATGGTGGAGTCAAAGGAGGATGATGGCCTGCTGCAAGGCAAGACCACCTCCCCCTTCAAGGATCTGTATCAAATGATCAAAAAATCTCTGGATATCAAGACCCCTCGGAAATCTTCTGCCAGTCTGCTCCAAACGCCTTCTTCAAGGTTTTGCACACCAAAACCTTGTTCCATCAGGAAAAATGATGGAAGCCCTGTCCTTTCCACAGAAGACAAGAGCACTCCTAAGAAGAATGAAACTAAAGGGGAGAATGAAAAAATAAGTAATGGGACCCCAAAGTCTGTAAAGAAACAGAGGAGGTCCTTCCATGCTCCCTCTACTGAGATGGCCGGACCAGAAGCTGAAAATACAGCTTCACCCCAGAAGAGAAACCGTGCATCCCCCCAGAGGTTTACTGTGTGTGAGGTTATTGAGCAAGTTTCCGCTCAAACGCCAAAGTCGCCTATGAGAAGGAGAAGCAAGGAGGTCACACCAGCCAAACTGGTGACTAAGGAGCAAGAAGAGCAAGCGGTGACTTCTCCCAAAATACTTCAGGCATCACCAAGGAACTCAGAGAAAACTGAACAAGGTAATTAATACTGTGATGCTACGTTTTTCTTTTTAATATATGAGTGTTAAACAAATTACAGTAATTATTAAAGCATGTTTAAGATATGCTCCATTGTTATTGATGTGCATGTAACATGTTTTCAATTAATTTCATAGCGAAAGAGACGTCTAAAAAACGCAAAAGCGGAGAACTTGCGGCTGACTTACCCGCACCACAAATGAAGAGGAAACGGGTTTCCTTTGGAGGTCAACTGAGTCCTGAGTTATTTGACAAACGACTGCCTCCTGACTCTCCATTGCGCAAGGGTGCTGCTCCGCGGAGAAGCTTGTGTCTGTCTAAACCCAACCAGTCACTCCTCAGACGAGCATCGGTCATTGGCATGATAAAGGTAAGACTCTAGGAGAGGATGACTCAAGTAATTTGTCTAACATTACCGTAGTTATCCATCATATAATCTTTAAAATGGACCTTGTTTTTTGTTTTTGTTTAGGAGTTTGAACAAGAGCATCCAGATAGCCCAAAGGTTCGAAGAACGCCTACAAAGAAGTCGCCAAAATCCAGGACCCCTTCTCCCAAGGCAGCAACTCCTGCAAAGAGGTCGCCAAAATCCAGGACCCCTTCTCCCAAGGCAGCAACTCCTGCAAAGAAGTCGCCAAAATCCAGGACCCCTTCTCCCAAGGCAGCAACTCCTGCAAAGAAGTCGCCAAAATCCAGGACCCCTTCTCCCAAGGCAGCAACTCCTGCAAAGAAGTCGCCAAAATCCAGTAGTCCATCACCTGCAAGGGGAAGGTCCCCCTCCAGGAACAAAGTGGAAACTCCTAAGGCCAACGAACAGCCTAAGAATCAACGCAAGTCGGTAACTCCAGGATTCCAGACCCCCTCAATACAAGGGCGCTTCTCTGTGTCACGCATCAGCACACCATCTCCAGCTGCAGAAAACGCTGTTTCTGCCCAGGTGCCTTTAGTCTCTGTAACTCCTAAAATACCCCTGAGGAGGAAGAGCGCCTCAGGGAAGACTCCAAGTATGGCAAAGAGCGCTGTGAAAGTAATGCGCAGAAGAAGTGGCATTTCACGGGCATCTATGAAACGTATGTTATACCTTGAAATTATAATACATCGCTTCTTGTCTGGTCTTTGTTCCTTTCACTTTGTCATCAATAGAAGTGTGTGTGTTTGTGTGTGTGTGTGTGTGTGTGTGTCAGAATAAGGTGTAAAGACCAATGCTGATGCCATTTTACTGTAATGTTTACCATTCAGCTTTATCACATGGATTGACTTCAAAGTATCTTATTTCATCACTCAGTAATTAAAATGAGAACAGATTTCATAATCTCAATAATGAGATGATCATTTATTGTCTGCAAGGTTTGCTTGGGCCCTTTGGTGTTTTTTTTGTTTAACATGTTTACTTTTTTCCTTCAGTGTGGGCAGATGTTGTGAAATTTGGGCAACCCAAGGCTCAAGTGGCTGCTCCAGCTAAAAAAACAGTCCCCAAAAAGACAACAAAAAAGGCTGCGTCCAAACCACAGGTAAAGTAAGATACTGTAACAAATACAGGGTACACTTTTTATCATAACAATTAAATGCTTTTTTTTTTTTTTTTTTTTTTCTATTGCTAAACAATCTAAACGAGTTGGACTAAATACACTGAACAACACATGTTTTTGCCCATATTCATCATGAGCTGAACTCAAAGATCGAAGACTTTCTCTATGTACACAAGGTCTATTTTGCTCAAATATTGTTCACAAATCCGTCAGTATCTGTGTTAGTGAACACTTGTCCTTTGCCGAGATAATCCATACACCTCACAGGTCTGGCATATCAGGATGCTGATCAGACAGCATGGGTATTGCACAGGTGTGCCTTAGGCTGATGCAAAGTGTTTATAAAGCGTTTATAATTTTGTTCATTGTATAAGCAAAGAACATCTGCTATTCTGTTTTGCTGACTGTGACTACTCTTTACTTTTAATAGCTAACTGTTGGAAAAAACTATATTCTATATTCTCTTCAATGAAGACCCACTGAAATTAGAGTTTACTTATACTACATGTCTTTCTCAATCTCTCAGACCCCTGCAAGAGAACTCAAAGGCCATGTCAGCACTGGGCATGCAAATTCACCTGTTACCATTGTTTTGAGCAGAGCTCACTATCAAAAGTTTGTAAATCCAACTGGTGCTGCACCAAGACTGGTCGCCAATACTGCTCTCCTTAAAAAAAACATGAAAATGGACGAGGACCTGACTGGTAATAACCCCTTTTCCATCCTGACAAATGGCAAGACTAATTCTTGGTAATGCATTTTGGACTTTAACATTTTTATGTTGTGCATTGTTTTTTGAACAACAGGAGTTTCTGAAATGTTTAAAACTCCTCTAAATGAGAGGAAGAGGAGGTCTGTAATCAACAAGACCAGTGCTGTTAAGACACCAGCAGAAGGCCTGGGCACATCTGTGGTAGAACCATCAGTGTTGAACACACCAGAAGGACCAGGTAGAGTGTATGTGGTGTTAGAGAACCAAAGTATGACATTTTTATTCTGCATAATCAGAGACTGAAGGGTTTGTCAAATTAAGTCACATAATACATTAGCATAAACTAATAAAAATGTGACTTATTTTACAGGCGAAATGATGGTGTCCCCACTGAGTGTTTCATCTATGGTAAAAGAGAAAAGCTACAACAGTGAGGCAGTCCAACGCCTCCTGAATGAAGATCCAGAGTCTAGCTTAGTCAGCGATGTCCCTGCCTTGGAGATTCACTCTGATTCTGGTGAACAGCAGTGCGCAGATTTGAAGACACACTCTGTAACAACTCCCAAACAGAAGCCAGAATTACCGGAGTGTCTCACTGGCGTGAAGAGGATCATGAAGACACCAAGACAGAAAGCTGAGCCTATTGAGGACCTGAGAGGGAGACTTCTGAGAACTCCTAAGCAGAAACCTGAACAATTAGAGTGTCTCACTGGAGTGAAGAGGATCATGAAGACACCAAGACAGAAAGCTGAGCCTATTGAGGACCTGAGAGGGAGACTTCTGAGAACTCCTAAGCAGAAACCTGAACAGCAGGAGTGCCTCACCGGAGTAAAGAGGATCATGAAAACCCCACAACAGGAAGTTGCGCCTCTCAAAGACCTTCAGGCAAAACTTCTGGGAACTCCTAAAGCTCTAAAGGCTGATGCAGGTTTGGATGATAAAGAACTTGAAGAGACACCAGCACACGTGCAAGAATCTGAAGACCAATCGGAAATGACAGAAATGAAAACTCCAAATGTGAAGAGCTCCCCATTGGTATGTCTCACAGGTATCAAGAGAATAATGAAGACGCCCAAGGAGAGAAGTGCTCCAGTTGAAGATATGGTTGGCATAAAGAGCCTCATGAAAACTCCCAGAGATAAGAGTGAACAGGTTGTGGAGAACTTAAGTATCAAGAGACTCGCAAAATCGCCAAGGCTGAGCAGTAATGCGCCAGTGGAAGTCTTGGAGGGAGTTCAAGAGCTTGTGGAGGAGCCACTGACTGATCACACAGGAGTGGACACAAATGAGGTAACAATGGAAACACTTACTTCAACATTTTCGTTATTTTGTTATATATTTGGGAATTAGTTTAATTTTAAGTATCTGAGAATGCAACTGGCAGGTAGCGTGTGATCAACAATAGGAACCGTTCAGCCATAGAACAAGGCAATGAACTGAACACTTCAAAACGCATGTTACTGAGATTTAAAATTTTCACATCACAGGAAGTCATTTGATTGAATATAAAAAACAAAAAAAAACAAAGATTTTGTTTAGCAGTCCAACTTAAGTTGCACACACGGTAACTTCAGAGTCTACTTGAGACTCGTCCTCAAGACTTCAGACTCTGACTGGAGGTGCAGGACTCATGAACAATGTTTATTTTTAGGAAACGTCTGAGCTTGCTGTTATTCCGTTCCCTGCGTTACCTATATACTACCTGTGTAACACGTAATATCAGCTGCGTGCGGCCACACGCGAGAGACAACAAACACCACAGCTGCTGTGCCATACATTATAAACTTTGGCTTTAAAACGTCGTACAACAAGGCCCAAACAAAGAAGCGCTGAACGCTACATAGGTTACCTGAGGTGAGTAAACATGTTTAGCTCAGCGTTGGCCCTCTAACGTTAGCTTGCTTTGGCTACGACCTACCAGAGCTACTCCAACTGTCGTTCGTTATGAAAAGATGAATGAGCGTTTGTTTACTTGCCAAACTTGTGGTAGTTAACATAATCATTTACGTCCCGCTAGCTGCCATCACATTAATTATTAATGTGGCTGCAAACTGGTTACAGGTTTAATGTTGATCATGTAATGTTACACTTTTATCTAGTTAAAACGTTACACTGGTTTGAGAGTCTGGGAGATATGCTGACTTACAGTAGTTTATCAGCTGTCATTAGTTGAAGACTCATTGTACATCAGACTACATGGTGGTGCTCTGTAAGTGGAAAAACAGGTTACAGAATTCCTTATAGATATGCAGTTTTATAACGGGGTACCCGCGGGGTCTTAAAAGTATTAAAGTCTTAAATTTCATATTTGAAAAATAAGGCCTTAAGTCTTAAATTTCATTTACCAAGGTCTTAAATTTGTTCAATAAATGCCGTAACGTCATAAACACTTTTTGTGTGTGTGACTTTATAATTTACTCCGTTTGTTGTGATGTTATATGGCAGTACAGGTAACGTTACTGTTTACGTCAGTGTTCAGCTTTACGCTCTGGACTGTGGAGTGTTCGCGGTGCACGAGCTTCAGCATCCAAACTCTGGCGCCTATCAGTCAGTTGTTAGGGAAGAAAACAAAACGTCTGATGGGCTACTAACCAGCTAACGCTAGCTTGTCACCTAAGAATTGGGGGGGGGACACAAGTGGCGGTTGAGGCCAAGGACAGTGGCACTCACACTGTGGCGAGCGCTAATGAAACAGCGGAGCTGGAAGACCCACCTGCAGGTTCCTGGTCAGTTAATGTTAAAACAGCAAGGGAGACTGTTGTGTATGAGGACCGTGTCTGTGTGTCGGCCTTGCGCCACTGTTGCAGGGTAACGTTATGTGAGTGGGGATCCCCAGTTTATATATTTCTGTATTGAATATTTAATCCAAATAGTTGTTCTCGTGAACCCAATATTGTAAATTGTGCATGTGAGTTAAGTGTATCGTCACACCCCTAATTTGAACCCTACGTCCACAACACTTTTCAACACAAAGTGATGTCCTTGATTCATATTAAAGTACAAACACACCCCAAAGAGCTACAGTGTGTTAAGTATTAATAAAATATTTTATTAAATACATGTCATTTTGTAAATGCCTTTCTCTGGAATTAAAATTCCTACAGATTTTGCGTTATGCGGCAGGGAAGTTGGTATTAAATTTCATCCTAGGTGGTATTAAAAAGGTCTTAAGTCTTTGAGAATCCTGGGGGTACCCTGTATAAGCAGCCTGGATTGAACGCAGCAGGTGATACAGCATTCATTATAACCACAAGAGACTTGAGATTTGACTTGGACTCTACCTCAAAGACTTGAGCATCTCTGCCAGGCGACGGCAGCTGCTCTTCTGAAAAGGCCTAGCTGAGACCGCTAGAGTGCACTTTAGAGGCGCAGGGAGGGGGTTGGGTTGTTTGTTTTTCGGCTGATCGTTCCATTGATTTAACTTTGTTCTAAACAATTAGGCCTATACTCTTTCTTCAATGAAGGTTTCTAGAAGCTGAAATGAACAATTTATCTTGTCTGTGTACATTTCACTGAACCTTTCCTTTACAAGACCTCTGTTACCGGTGTGGTTTTCTTTCTTTCTTTTGAACAGGTGGCAGATCAAAGCCCTCTGGATTGTGGTGAAGACATTGCAAAAGGTTAGTTGGTTCATAAGTTTAGTTAGAATAATATTAGATGTATAATACCAATGTTTCCCATTAATTAATGAGACCATGGCAGCCCGCCACAGTCTTAATTTGCTCAACCATAGTTTCAGAATGAACCAAAAATACTTCTCGTAACAACATTCCAGACCTTTAACGTTGGGTTTTGTGGGCACTGCTCCGCGCTGCTCGTTAAAGCCCTCGCGCTCACATACTTTGGCGCCCGACTCGAGACAACCACTTTTCTTTTGAGGTAACTACGGTAATGTTAACTGTCTTTAAGCTAGCGGCACCTAAATTTGGAGTGTGCACGTATTAAAGCCTTTATGGTAAATCCACTGAAAAGAACGAGTGCAAGCTGACAAGCATGTTAGCAACTTTGTCATTTTCTCTTTAAAAAGACAAGTGTTGCAGTATGAGAGGCCTATCTCGAGAGGCTGTGAAGTCTTCATGTTACGCAATACGAGAACTACATACAACATCATTTATCAAATTGGGTCAGACTTGATGAATTTAGCGGGCGGATACACATGTGACAACATCTGGTTTTCAAAATAAGGTGTCTATACATTATGGAAATAAGATAAATTGGATTATATTCACAGAAAGTATAAAACCTATTACATGTGTACATTAAAAGTAAAATTTATGGTTGCTGGATAAACATTAAATTTGTTGACTTTTGTTGCTGTTTCATCACCATTTATAGCTATACAAAGGGTTTATGATTAGTTTACTAGAGCACAACATTGTTTTCAAGAGAGCAAAGTTATTCATAGGTAGCCTCTTAATTTTGCACCAAATTAATGCATTTAACTTTATGATATATATTATACAAAATGTTCTTCGGTTGGCTCCCTGGGCGACGCGCACCCACCATAGTCTCTTAAACTCCAGTGGGAAACACTGGTAATACATGACATTTCTTGGGTGGTTCTGCTGATGAGCTGATTGATAACAATGGTTTTGTTGTCTCTCCTTATGTAGAGCTAGACTTTGCCCAGGAGGAGCCTCGAGACAATGTGCAATCAGATGTGATCAATGATGTGCTCCAAATTCACACGACAAAGGGTACAGATGCTAATGCTTTTAATTGATTTGTTATGTTAAAATGACTTATGAGTTTGTTATTATGTGGACTTTGAGATGTTTTCCAAAATGTTATGGAAATTCTGTATATTGATTTGAAGAATTGGGGAGGGGGGGGGAGAATCTGCTCTCGAAAGTAAGGGGGGTAGATTTTATGCTTCAGAACTTATTCAGGCGTTGACGAGGGTTTGATCCTTGTGCCATGATCATTGCTGTGGAAATCTTTTGTCAAAACATGCTAGATGCAAATATTTAAACTGCTATAAACTCTATCATAACATGTTTTTCTTTCTTTTCTGTCTACGTTTTTGTTTATTTTAGAAGCAGATGCAAATGAAGTTGTCGATCATTTGGAGGAGGTGCCAAGTGGACATGATGATGAAGATGCATCAGATACCATGGAAACAGTTTCTCAAGCAGCTATAGATGAGAATTTACCTGTCGACGCAGCAGATGAGCATGTATCTGAAGAACAACCTGAAGTGGAGACTGCCACAGATTCTGACCATGAGAAGAAACCTGTTCGTGGCAGAAGAGCAAAAACAGAATCTAAAGCAGCTGAGGATAAACCGGAGGCAACAGAACATTGTGAAGATCCCGTCACCCCTGCTCCAGTCAGAGGAAGAAGAGGGAAGAAAACTGAAGCTACTGCACCGCCTGCTGTTAAACAGACAACAAGAAGCAGGAATGCAAAGACCACTGAAAGCAGGGATGTTGAGATTGCAATGGAGAAAAGCGAGTCTCTGCCTTCCAAAGTTGCCCCTAAGCCTAAACGAGGAAGAAATGCCAAAAAGTTTTCTTCTGCTCAAGCTGAAATGGTGCCAGTGCCTGAGAGTGAGCAGAGCCCCCGAGTTGATGTCAACCACGAGGCAAATGACACTGCAACAGCTCTGGAGAAGGCTGTATTGAAGCCTAAGCGGGGCAGAAAAGCTGAAAAATCTGTGCCAGAGCAGCAAGATGTGCCCCAAGCTGACATGGCAAAAGGTACTTCAGAGTTCCTTTTTGTTTCTACTTTAAACTGAAGTCACTTAAAACACTTTCTGACCTATTCATAACGTAAAAGTGAGGGGACTTGATCAATGTGTTTTTCCATTCCTGGGAGAGTTAAGAATTGTGAAAGTTCACAATATTAGTGGATGGTTCTCCATAGATTTTCATTGGTGAAAACAAATCCTGACTCACATACTGTATTTAACTGATGAGCTAATTGATAGTTGAACGCTCAAACACTGTAAATGTAAATCTAACATTTCTCCTTTGGTTTTCTTGTGTTGTAGAAGCAGGAGCAACTGAAGTCTGCGGTGACGAGCTGGAGGTGTTGCGCAGTGGACAGGATGAAAATAAATCATCAGATGCAATGGAAATCTTTCACCAGGCACCTGTAACTGAGAGTTTACCTGAAGTGAAGACCGCAACTTGTGAAGTCACAGAAATGGAGGCAGCTGTCGTTCAGAAAAAATCTGGTCGAGTCAGGAGACCGAAACTGGTAGAATCTAAAGCAGCTGAGGATAAACCGGAGGCAACAGAACATTGTGAAGATCCTGTCGTCCCTGCTCCTGTCAGAGGAAGAAGAGGGAAGAAAATTGAAGCTACTGCACTGCCTGCTGTTAGACAAACAACAAGAAGCAGGAATGCAAAGTCTCAAGAGAACACCTCTGATGATCAACCTGAAATGGTACCACAGAAAGTTGTGGAGCCACTGGTGGCTGAGGTTTCCACTGAAGCTGTGAGTGACCAGACTTCTTCACTAAATACCCATCAGGAAGAAAAGGATCCTGCACCGCCCGCAGAAGCTGTTGTGAAGCCCATTAGAGGGAGAAAAACTAAACAAGCACCTGTTGAGCCACCTCAGTCAGAGCAAAATGAAGTTGTTAGTGACGAGCCTGCAGACGCTCAAGCTCAAAAGTCCATTCCTGCTGTTGGAAAACCCAGAAGAGGGAGAAAGCCAAAAACTGATACTGTTGAACAAAATGAGGTGGCAGAGGACCCTGTTCTCATTGTGGAGACCAAGCAGCAGGCTCAGCCTCTGCTCAGGGCTAAGAGGGGAAGAAATGCCAAAGAGGAAGAGCTAGAGAACGATGTCCAGACTATTTCAGTTGAGACTGCTAAACCACAAGAGCCGGTTAAAAAATTAAGGAGAACCAGGAAGGCAGAGCAAGACCATGTAGAACCAAGAGAAGAAGTCCAACCCGTTGTCCCAGAGGAGGCTGAGGCTCCACTTGTTGCCGAGCCAGTGAAGATGAATGAACCGGCAACTGTGGCTGCAAAACCAAGGAGAGGAGGGCGAAAAGCAAAACAGGACACACAAGAGTGTGAAACCCCTGTTGAATCTGCTGAGGTCCATGAAGTTCCTATCGTCAGCTCCACAGGCAAACCCAAACGTGGCAGGAGAGGAAAACAAGTTACTGAAGAGATCACTGCTGTAGCACCAGAGGAACAACCTGACCATGAGCTTCAGGCTGAAGAGGAGAAAATTGCTGAGCCAGAGGCTTCAACCATCAAACATGGCAGGGCAAGGGGGCTTAAAACATTGGTGAAAACTGAGCTTCCACAAGCCATTCCGGCCAAGAGAGCCCGTCGAGGTGCAGCTGCTCCCCTTGAGGACACCAATGCAGAATCGACAGTCCTGGTTTCAGAGTCTGCGCCAATTTCAGTACAGCCAGCTAAAAGGGGGAGACGTGCAGCAGCAAAGCCCACAACAGATGATGCTGGTGACCAGGCAAATCCCACTGAAGACGTAAGCAGTGCTGTGGTGGAAGACACAAAAATGTCCAATAGATGTGTCAAGTGGAAAGCAGATTTGGAAGTGTTTGAGATTCCACAATTAACACCTGTAAAGGCGGTCCGAGGCAGGAAGTCAAAACTTGGAGACAAGGTTGACACTGAAAGCAAAAATGTCTCTAAGGATGCCAACAAAACTGAAGAGAAGGATCTCTCAGATGAAGTTGTCGAAGCTCAGCCCATCAAGAGAGCCAGGCGCGTGGCAAAGGTCGCTGACAAAGAGTTCACAAGCAAGGTGAAAAGTGTTGAGGCTGAGGCACAGCCAAAAACCCGAAGAGGAAGAGCAGCAAAGAAATAAATGCATTTGTATATATCCTTAATCATAATGACTTTTTCCCTTTAAATCTTTGTCATTTTTTTTAAGATTGTATGGCATTTTAGAAAGTAGTTTTATAAAAACGAAGCACTGCTTTTTTTTTTCTCCAATACAGCAGGGAATCTTGTTTAAACCCTTTTTATGTCGTGACAAGTTGTATGTTCATTACATTGCGAATATTTTTATGGTGAAAAAAGTGGTTATTAAATTTTTGTACAATGGGGGAAAAAATTGGTCTGAATTTGTCTTAATGTCCAAAAATGGATTTGGGGTTCTGTGCATCCACATGTGGAGTTACAATGACTGGGATGATTATTCACTAAATGGTTTGTTCTGGTGACTGATCATTTTCATGCTTTTGTCAGTTTCTGGAAGATATGACAGAAGGGTAATGGCCTTGTGCAACTTAGTGTTGCTGCCGATCTTTTCTGGATGACTTAGTGCTTTTTATAAGCAGAGGGGAAAATAAAAGTGGCTTTTTCAGAGCATATAAAACTTTACGTTGTAGGAGGGGTGAGCAAGAGTGAGTCAGGCAAGTGTAAATTGGTATATGGATTATAGGGTTTAAAAGAACTCTACTGAGGTTTTGACCTACATTGGACTAGAATGCATACGGCCGTAAATGCCCTCCTTTGCATATGAAGTTGAATTGAAAATGTATCGATTACTGAGGCTTAGTATTTACTATTTCAGACACTAGTAATATCCTTAAAGGGACTTAAGGAAAACTTTAAAAAGCCATTCATTGCAGTGGCATATTGAAAAATACAAGGTAGTCAATGTAATCAGTGTGCGAATAAACTTGATTAAATAACACTAATATTAAACTTTAACATCAGCACAGAATAAGCGTCTCAGGAAGAGATACAGAATAGTTTCTGGCTAGCTTCGAATTACTAACCGGAAATGGCGATATATCAGGAGAACAGCCCGGACACATTTAGGAGACGGAGTCGAAACGAACGCAGAGTCGACGCTGGAGGGAGATTTGAGCGGCGCACGGGCAGCTTTCGACCTAAAAATTGTCTCACGATTTAAGTGGTTGACTTATTTCTTGCTTTGTCGTTAGATTTTATGTTTTGCCGTCATGGAGGCGGAGAGGGACATAAAAACCACGGCGAGAGGGTTTCAGTGCACCCTGTGCAACGTGAATTTACCAAACAGTAAGTAACGTAACGTAAGCTAACTTTAGCCACATGTGCGACACTTAAAATTATGTTTCCAGTAACTTTTTTTATAGGCAGGTGACGTGCAGTATTACCGGACTAAAAATCCCACCAAATTTTAAGCTATGTCGGGGATGAGAAAGAACGTTAACATACTGTCACTTCTAAAATGAACGACATAATGTGAGTGCATTGTTAAAACAGTTAGCTAATGTTATAACGGTAAGAGATTTAATGTATTGGATACGTTTGTCATTTTTTTTGATTGTTAGCTAAACGGTAAATTGCATGTCATTGCTTGATTAAACGTTTTTATCTTTGAAGCTGTCATATTAATGCAATACTGTTCAAATTGTAAATCTTTCCCGCAGTGCCAAGCTTGGAACAGCATGTCAAGGGGCGGAAACACAAGACGCTGAGCAATGTGCGGGCCACCAGGAGGACCCAGGATCAGCACAGTGTGTTTGTTAGTGGCATCAAGCCTGACATATCTCAGACTGACATAGCTGACTACTTCCAGCAGTTTGGGCCAGTCTCAGATATTATCATGGATAAAGACAAGGTCAGTCAGCTGTTCACAATGAGATACAGCTCATTTTAAATGACACCCATAGCCTCAAGGTGCTCCTCTTTGTAGTTTGTGGCTGGTAGTCAATTTCTGACTGAGCCCCAATGTAGTCTGACTGTGATGTGTCACTCTACGCTCACAGGGTGTGTTCGCCATCGTGCAGTTCAATGAGACTGACAGCATACAGGCAGCCTTGTCCTGTGTTGAGCATCGGATGAAAGGCTTGAAGCTGCGTGTCAAACCCCGGGAAAAGAAGGAGTTCAAGTTGATTCCCAAGAAGAACAATGACTTCCAGAACCTCCAACAAGTTCTTGACCGTCTGAAACCTCAGCTGTGCCAGTTGGTGTCTGTAAGCATCCTGTGAACTAGAAAGTGTGGGTCCGTAAAGGTTGGATTGTAAGTGTTACAGCCTCTGGGGGCTGCGAGTGGAGCTTTGAGATTCTTAAGTCTTTATATTATATATCATTTTTATGCTATACTAATTATAACTTATGCATTACATACTCATGTTAATAGCACATAGTTTTGGTAATTGGTGCACAAAAAACGGATACTTTTGTCGTTTAAACTGACTGTAAATGGTTGTCATAGGCAACAGTAGTCAGACACTGTTAAATTACAAGGTGTTGTCGTTTTGTTCTCCAGGTGGATGCACAGATGCAGTACATTGTAGAGCGATGTCAGCTGGGCGAAAACGAGAAGAAGGCCCGAGGCTTGATGGTTCAACTCCTGCAAGAGGTTTTCGTAGAGTTTTTTCCAGGTGACCTTTTAGAACACACATACAGGGAGTCAATTTCTGAAATTTTGTGTTACACAAAGATAATTGTGTAAAAGTTTATTGTCAATTGGCTCTCTCACTTTTAATGCATTGTTTGGAACGGTGGCAGACAGCCAGATTCTGCCATTTGGTTCATCTGTCAACACTTTCGGCATCCACTCCTGTGACTTGGACCTGTTCCTGGACCTGGAAAACACCAAAGTGTTCCAGGCCCGTGCCAAGTCCACCGCAGAACAGGTCAGGCATTTTTATATATATATACAATTTTTACCTCAGTGTTATCACCAAAACTTTGTGGATCCACAGTGTATTGGCAAAATAATGTAACTTTACAGGGAGCCCGCTGTGAATTTTGTCATAGTTCCTTTCTTTTGTCTTCTCTCTTTCTTCAGGTAGGGGAGGGCATGTCAGACGATGGCCGCTCCGAGGACTCCATCCTGTCTGATATTGACCTGTCCTCTGCCTCGCCGGCCGAGGTCTTGGACCTTGTGGCTGCAATCCTCAGACGCTGTGTCCCCAGCGTGCACAAAGTTCAGTTGGTCAGCAGCGCTCGTCTTCCTGTAGTCAAGTTCCATCACCGCGAGCTTAACCTGCAGGGGGACATCACCATTAACAACAGGTCAGTAGATGATTCTTAGGATTACCTTGATGATGTGTCAAAAGTCTTCAGATGTAGTGAGAAATTGTTTTTATCTTGTACAGTGAGCAGAATTACAGATTGGTTTCCTTTTTTCTATCCTGTATCTCTTACTAGACTAGCAGTAAGGAACACCCGCTTCCTCCAGCTGTGTTCAGGGATAGAGGACAGGCTGAGGCCTCTGGTGTACACAATTCGCTACTGGGCCAAGCAGAAGCAGCTGGCTGGTAAGGATGAAATGACTCACACCTCAAAGCATATCATATAGCACCTATTCTGTTTGTAAGAACAAAAAAAACCAAAACAAGATTATTGTGTTGTGGTTGTCTGTGCATTTAGGTTATGTCATTTTTTGGTCAACAGGTGTCAGTAGAACTTCACTTTCCCCTTGTCTTGTTGGGATCTGTCTGCACACACTGACTTGCAATGCCTTTTTAGCTCCTTGTTATTAAAGCTGTGAAAAAAGAAGAAATACATAAAGCTGGCACATGTATAGCTCCTTTTTGTGTTGAAATATAACAGGCAGTGTCTCCTGATATAGAATAAAATCTTAATGCGTGTTCTTCACAGAAGAGCACACAAATTACCTTCACTCATGGGGCACATCTCCTTTATTCCCTTTTATGAATAGTAGCCTCCACGCTGCCAGTGCAGCTTTCAACAAGGCACTTGTGTAGAGTGATAAGCAGAGCAGGATGGAATCAGTTCCATGTAAGGCTGCTGTATATTTCAGATGAAAGCTTTCTAACTTCTGTTATACTTGAAATGAAATAAGTGAGTTTGCAACTATATTATGCAATGTTATTCTACAGCTATTATCGGCATAGATTCCCTTTTAACATCAGTGGAAAGCAGCTGGTTTTTCTGTATGACTTGGCAATGACCTTGCCCTTTAGGAGATAAAAGAACCAAACCCAGTCCCCCACACCATGCCTTGCACTAATCATAGTTTCATCCTGTCAAGTATGAACAACACAATCACATTTGCGTTGTGACGTGTAGGTAACCCTAGTGGTGCAGGTCCCCTGCTCAACAACTACGCTCTGACACTGCTGATCATCTTCTACCTGCAAAACTGTGAGCCTCCTGTCCTCCCCACGGTGGACCAGTTCAAAGACATGTCCTGTAAGTTCTGCATTGCACCTGCACTCAATAGGCCTCATGCAAGAACATTTTTTTACTCTCATCTTAAACTCCTCTTACTGTTTATTTTTTTTTTTTTTTTCGTTCGAGTGTTCCAGGTCAGAATCACCAAACTTGTCGTCAAGTTGCTCATTTCAGTGTTATGAATGCCATCTGTTCATAAGGAGGTGAAAATTTGTGAGAAGGGAGTTCTTTGACCTGGAAGTGAAGATGCTAAAGTCTTTCTAAAGCAAATCAGTCCATGGCGTAGATGGAAGGTAATCAAGGGAAGTGACACGGAGAGATTAGATGAGACCGTATTATGGCCTACAGTGGATGATGTTAGACTCAGGAGCGACAGAAGATGATCCTGAGACTTCCTTCAAGTTCCTCAGGCAGCTGCTGGAATGAAAGTTTTTCAACAGCTACTAGAATTTATAAGTTGCTGTGAAACAATATGCCAAAGAAAGTCGTAAAATAAAAATAAAATAAAAACCAAATTGACAGCCACAATGAAGACATGGTAAACAGAATATTCATTTTGCATTAAGTTGGTCTCATTTGTATAACTGAATTCAGGTCAAATTAGTGGGTTTTTGTCAAATGGAGAGTCAGACTATCTATTCATGACTCGATAAAAGGTCTGGACCGCACTCTTAACGTGCCAGTTAATAATGAATCTGCTCATATGAGTGGTTCTTGCATGAGGCTGAATATGTCCTTTTTAAGCAGTGTGAACGAAAACGGGACAACAAAAATTGCAAATTGCTTGCACATTATGTGTGTTTTATATATAGGGATGTTTGGACGAGATTAGTCTAAAATTTCAGTAGGTTACAGCTTAAAATGACTTTCGTATTGTAGATCATTTAGTCCAATATAATGAAAATTACATGTTAATTTGTCTGTTTTGCTGTCATTCTAATTACATGTGATTTGTTTACCTCTTTGCAGGTGAGGAGGAAGAGTGTGTGATTGAGGGCTGGAACTGCACCTTCCCTAGTCAGCCTATTGCTGTGCCAGCCAGCAAGAATACACAGGACCTCTGTGAGTGAGAGTAATTGAAAAAGCATATATGTGTCTAGGGGTGTCCCCGACTAAGGATTTACATAGTCGAATCAGAATTGTCTATTGCCTATAGTTGACTGATAGTCGAATCATATGTGTTTTTGCGCGGCAATTGCGAGCGCGGGGCAGGGTGGGGGCTACACATGGTAGCTCCACTTTAATCTTGAGAAGTCTGTATTCATTACTCGGTGTAACTTACACTGTGCATTTCCAGCTAAACTGAGGCTTATTGTTGACCATTTTCTCTCTGCTCGCCTGCCATTCACCGGTCTTGTGCAGAGTTCTGCGTGCATTCCGTGCTGCCGACAGCTGCGTGCACGAAGCGGTTCCTCATGGGTCTATTTCAAGTACTCTTTAAAAACGATAAATTGTTTATGTGGTTCATCAATGGTGATAAAGGATCCTAACTTTCCGCGAGGTGGGGACAACTCAGCACAACAACAGTGAAGCTGGGGCTCCATCTCTTCAGCAAGTGTTCCCCTACTCCCACACATACGCACCGACTCACACCCCTTCCTTAAGGGTTAGGGTTACAATTTAGGATTTATTCACGCACTTTAAAAACATTTATTAAAAGTTTTTTTTTCTTTTTACATGCTTTTATATTATATTGTAATAGGCAGTATATTAACTTATTGGGAGAAAACTCATAGTTCTAGGTTAAATCAGATGTTGAGCACCCCCATATCACCAAAATGGCATGATCCTCATTTTGCTGCTGTGAGATTGACAGTCGAATCAGGCTCCACCCATCAAAACATCGAATCTTCGACTATTGGGGGTCAGCCCTAAATGTGTCGGAGGTTTCCTGTGACATTATATATGTAACCTAGTGTCTTCATGTGTTCTAAATACAGCTTAATATAACCTCTTACATATATTGCCAGCATCACCACTACAGACCCTAAATGTCTCTCTGAATGTATGTTTTCTCTCTCTAGGCACCCTGCTCGCTGGCTTCTACTCCTTCTACGCTAAGTTTGATTTTGCCAGTAGTGTCATATCTGTGAGGGAGGGGTGTGCACTCCCAATCACTGATTTCCTCAGTCAGACTAAAAAGGAGGAGGCCATGGAAGAGGAACAACCCTCCAAGACCAATCGCCATGGCCCCAAACTGGGCCCCATAAATCTATTAGACCCCTTTGAGCTCTCCCACAATGTAGCTGGAAACCTGAATGAGCGCTCTCAGCGCAGCTTCCAAAGGGAGTGCCAGGAGGCTGACAAGTACTGCCGCAGCCTGCAGTACAAGCGCAAATCCACCAAGGGGAAGTCATGGGGGCTGGTACGCTTGTTGACCCCCCATGGGGAGGTCCCAACTACCAAAACAGAACAGCTAACCATCAGCATCCCCTTCAAATCAGCGTCGCTCCCTGAAGTGCTGCGCAATCAGCTGCACATGGCGGGAGATGGTTTTCGGCCGCTGTGGTTTCAGAAGGTTTGCTCTGCTGTGGAGGGAGTCTTCCAAAGTGTTCTCAGGTGTCACTTTGTTCCCTCCACAGACGGCGTCTTTGGTGAGGATTCAGCTGCCAATGCTGCGGAGGAAATGGAAACTGCCTCGGCTTCACTCAAATCAACAAATGACAGCTCTGACAGTGTTGAATCCCAAAACGAAGCCAGCCCTCTGGGTAATGCTGTGGTCGGTGGCAAGAGGCCGCTATCTTCTGGCAGCGATGCTTCTGTGTCGCCTCAAGGCAAAAAGCCAAGACTGGCAAAAAGGGGCAAGCCTGCATCTCCTCACTGGATCTGTGAGCAAAAGCACTTAGTGTGGGCTGGCAGGAGGAAAGTGAGAAGGGAGCTGATCAAAGATACAGACTCCAGGCCAGAGGGCAGCTGCATGGAGCTGGAGTCCCAGGTCACAGCTCGCATCATTGAAAAAGAGCCAGAGCTCAAGGAGCCCCTGGAGTTCAAGGTTCAGCCCCAGATGGTGGGTGGGACAGAAAGCACAAGGGCGGTGCTCAAGTTTGAACCAACCAGCGACAAGGAAGGAGTTTTTCATGACTTCTTTCATTTCCTGGAAGCCTTCTTACCTAAGATGGTAGAGACATTGCTAGAGAAACCGGTGAGTAGTGCTTAAAATAGGACCGGTTTCAGATATGTCTCCATTAAAGCTAAGAATTTGGGGGTCTCTTTGTTTTGAATCAAAATGCCATTACAGCCACTTGTATTAACCGTTGTCTTTATATTATACCAGGCATCAACTATTATATTTGGAGATAAGGGCTTTGTCAGAACGTTTGTATTGTTTTCATGTGTGCTGTATATTTGTTCTTTGTTTCAGAATACGATTTCCTAAAGAAGCCTACTTTTATGTTTTGAGACGTGATTTGGTTTTAGTATGTTTGTTTAAAATGATGCTCCTAAATGATGAAGCTTTAAAGGGGATGTCCAGTGGCAGACGTTTGGTGTACACAGCATCTGATACTGTCTTCAAATAAAAAAAAAAAAGCCTTTGTAAAATACTGCATCATTCTTTACACAGAAGTTGTGATCAGTCAGGACCCACATACATTTATTTCACCATCAAGCATCATCTTCAAGCTGTCCTTATTAATAAAGAATCAGTAATTGTAGTTTAACATACAGTAGTTGCAGGAACAGGGTCGATACTTTAGTTTAACTTGTCGTGAGCTGCCAGAGAGGGACCATTGACCGGAGCTTTTATCCAGTCAGGTCTTCGCTCATACGACTAAGACAGATGAGAGTAATTACTCAGACAGGCAGACTACTTTATTATAGCAGGAGCGGAGGGATGCACAGAGTTCCCCTGTGCTGATTAACATCATTCATCTCACTTTTACAGAGAAATCCAGACGGCCAGCAGGCTATGGAGGATGGCGATGGCTGTCGTGATGAAGGTGTTTGAGACGGCTCACTGCATGTTAATCTGATGCTGGCTTGCATTGCTGATTGTTAATTCTTGAAAGAAAGTCAGAAAGTCAAATATTGCGTTATGACTCCACTTGAGTATTGTGAAAATATTGATTTCTGGCCATTCCAGCAGCTCTGGGAATGGAAATGTAGCTCTGGCCCATATTTATCAAGCTTCTCAAAGTGCCATTAAAGTCTTAAGTGCTAAAAATTCACGAAATTTAGTTTACTTTCAAATTTAAGCTAAGAATCACTCTCCCAGTTATTTAAGACAGCTCGAGAGGTCTCTCGAGTGGTTAGGAGTTGCCAGTACAGGCTTGTGATGGCACTGTGGAGACAGAGACATGCGCATATGTTTCAGGAGAGGAAAAATGTTTCTGAATTATTTGATGATGCGCACTTAATCAAACGGCATCGTTTGGACAAAGTAGGCATAATCTTTGTCAGAGAGTTGGTGAGAGACGTCATCTCACACGGACTTTATGCAGCAATGCGTTTTCAACTGAATTGAAGGTGGTGATGACACTTCGTTTCATTGCCACAGGACAAATGCAGCAATGCAATGCTGATTGATTCAGGGCCATCACAACCATCAATAAGCCGAATTGTCAAGGAAACAATTATGGCAGTTACAGCTCCAAACACTGTCACGTGTTTCATCGACTTCCCAACAACACCCTGCGTAATCCAACAGACGCAAACACAATGCTTGAAAACGGCCAGCTTTCCAGGAGTAGATCATTTGCAGCGCGCAAAAAGAACCAGATTTAGGATCATAAACACAAATGGCGATATCTCTTTCTGCAAAAACGCCTCAAGTAGCCTATGTTAAACTGCAGTTTAATCGGGAATCATATGAATTAATAAATGCAGTGCAATTCATTCTCATAAAAAAAGTGAACATGAGGACAAATTATATCTAAATTGATGCCGTTTTCAGTCTGTCAATCCAGCAAATAGGAGTGCACTTTCATGTAGCCTAAGATGTCCTTTGCCTTATCGAGCCAAACGCTGTGCGCCAGCATGTGGATGTGATGCGCTGCTTGTAAAAACACGTTATGGAAATATAACACTTATTTTGTTTTCATTTACAACAAGTCATATTTCTTTTAACTCATCGACAGCCTCGTTAAGTGATTGGACTGTTTGTGTAGCCTAAATAAATGTTTAAACACAAGTGGAAAGCATTTGGGTTACTCTCTACAGATGGGGGAATCCAAATTAGTAGGCCTACCTGGGTCATCCCATCCTGCGTGTGTGTGTCCCCCTCCAGCCAGCGACGTCACTAATCAAGAGGGAAACCCTACCTGTAGATCGGTTATGATGGGGTGGAGCTCACGTGCCCCCTTTCCTCCGGTGCACAACGTTGCGCCAAAGTGCGTTTTTTTACCCACCAAACAACATACTTCAGCTTCACCAAAAGGAAGGTCGGTTTCACACTGAGTTAATTTTCGTTTTGTTGCTTTTCTGTCGAAGTTCTCAACAACTATGTAATGGCTTTCCATTAAATTTTTTTGCAGACTTCATAGTCTGGAGAGGACCAATCCTACTGACTTTGGTTATCCCCTGGCTGTTCCTTTATATGCCCCAATATCTGTGAAATATCTCAACATCTATTAGATGGATTAGCACCAAATGTTCTACAGGTCATGGTTCCCAGAGGATGAATTGTAATGACTTTGGTGATCCCCTGAACTTTCCTCTAGTGCCACCGTGAGCTTTCATTTGTGTTTTTGGCTGAAATATCTCAACAACTATTGCCGTGAAATTTGGTGTAGATATCCCTGTCCCCCTCAGAATTAATACTATACTTGCTAAACCATTAACTTTTCATTTAGCGACATCAGGTCAAAATGTGTCTTTGTCAGACACTTTGATCTATAACTGAACACCTGCTAAACTCATGACATTCCTGTAGCACGGCTGTGGACTCTTTCTGGTTTATGTTCTGTCTGCTGAAACGCTCACCGTTCTCGTTTGTGTTTATTTTTCTGAGGTTTTGATGGCATATTGCTCGAACATCAGCCGTTTACTTCGACTCCACACTACTCCAGTATCACCATCCCTTGTTTTTCACAGGTGCTCCTGATATATGGCCTCTCACAGGCACACACACACACCTCTAAGCCGGAGATTCAGAGTGATTGATATCAAACCTGGAGATGTGTTTGCTGTTGGCCTAAAACAAGAAAACAAACCATCGCTAGTTGTTCTGATAAGACTCACAAGCTATTTTCCTCAGGTTTCAATCTATTGTAAAATATTCATCAAGTTGAACAGCAACACACACAGTATGCGGTCGTAGAAAAGCTTGAAATGGTTTCATCAGGTATTGATGACAGTCCAGTTACATGTAGCTCATTTGCTCTAATTAAAATAACAATTGGTTGTGGTGAGCATTTTTATTTGCCTTTGTATGTGTATGTCTGTCAGGCTGTGGAGCTTATTATTCATTTAGAGTTCCCCAGAAAAAGATGCCATTTCCATGTTTTGTGTCATTGATCGGAAGTGATCCTGAGCCAACCCCCCCTAGACCTAGAATCTTCAAAGCTTGCTAGCAATATCAGCTGCTTACGGCTTCTGTACATTCTGCTGTGACGCATGAATGCATTGAGTCACATCTAGTCTGACATCATCTTGTTTTGTATTGTGTAGCTGTAAGTTTACGACATATCCAGTAATCAGCCCCTCTGCGTAATCGGATGCCTAGAATATGGAGGGCATGTGAGTAAGACATTGACTTTGCCCTTACATAGTTTTTAAGGGGATTATTTTGATACATAAACAGCACACCGACTCCCCTAATTTGTACTGACTTTGAGAGCATGCTCTGAATCAAATCATCGACCTTTCCCGAGCCCTCTGACACCCGCCTTGCCATCCATCAGAGTTACCTGAAGCTGCCATTGCCAGATCACTCATAAACACATCAGTCGGTGGGATATAGCTGTAATTGGTCAGCTCTGCTTTCCAGAAAAGACAAATGGTCTAAGTGATGCTGCTGTTGGCAGAGTAGCTTTGGCCCTCTGGGGGAAATGAGGCACTGGCTGTTTTGGAAACCAAATGAGAAGCACTGACTTTGTGCGCCCATTGTTTAGGACTGACTTCTCTTACATAGAAGCTGGTTGTGTGTGTGCGTGTCCCTCCAAAAAAGGCAGATAAGGTCTGAAAGTTAAAGAGAAATATGTTATTGTTTGCTCACTGGTCATCTATGTTTCTGACTGATATTCGGTGGCCCCTTTTAGAGCCATTTATGTGGTCAGGAATTATGGGACCGTGGCAGTGGACAGCCATCAACCCCCCATTTTGTCTCCTGAGCAAGTGTGCAAACAAACCTGGCTGCCTGAAAAGCACTCTGTTCATATTAGTGGCTCTCCCACTATGGAGATAAGGCTAAATAAAAACGCATAATCATTTCCCCCTTTCTGTCTGTGATGGCAGGAAGGAGTCAGACATTCTCCTGGGAGATTGCTCTTACACCAGAATGGACTTCTGTACGCGCGTGTGTAATGTTCCTTTTGTATTTGGACTATGTGTCATGCAAATGGAAATAGTAGTGGTTTTACTATCCAAAGTGAAGACAGGCTCAGGAGAGAAGCTTTTAGGGCTCCATTTGAGGAGTACATGTAGATGCCTTCAGTAAGTAGATTTCCAACATCCTGATTTGCTCAAGTTATCGCTCTGGGCCCGAAAAAGTCTTACTCAACAAATGAAAAAGTTGGCAAAACTGAGCAAAATGCGAGAAAAAGTTTGGAAAATCAGTTGCCTCCTACTGGTCCTATTATCTTGGCCTTGATGGCAACTCAAACACTTTTCCCCTCTGTAGGAGCCTAAACTACTCTTCAGGAGTGCATTAGCTGGGGTTTATTGGACTGTGAGAACTTTTAACTGTCTGCCATTTTCCTTATCGGGGGGGTTGTTACTTTCTCAGTGTTTATCTACAAACACTGGAGATAGCTAATGAGTTTTTCTTGGGCATATTGTTGTTTCTTGCCATTGACTTTTATGGCTCGTAGAGTGAATGCAGAGTGGTTGATTACTGAAGCAGGATTAACTAAATGTTCAGGGTAGCCACCGTCAGCTGTGGGAAATGGGTGATTACAACAGAGAGGACACATATCGGTTCCCTTGAATTGGAGATGATTTATTCGGGATTTAATCACTTTTAGCTATCCCCCCTTTTTTCTCAGCTCCTCTGATTGTTAAAAGCAAAGATTTTGCTATTTAGATTACTTTTTGCTATTTTGCGCCAATTTGGACGTCGTAGGGTGAACAAACTGCAGAACACTAATTGTCCCCTCAATATCAGTTTGAATTATGGTGCAATAATTGCTCAGAAATGATCAGTGCAATCAATGTGTAATACTGCAATCCACTTTATGGCGTGGTCAACTACATTTTAACTGCTTGTTTATTGTCAACAGCAGCAGCAGCTCTGTGGAGGCTGTCAGTGGGGATTTATGCCCAAATCAAGTCATGCTTTTGACAAGGGCTTAGGGACAGACAAAGGACAGACAAAACACTGTTGTTTACAACTCTATAAACTCTATAAGCATATGAGATG